TTGGCCTGCTGTGTTCATCCAGCCCTGCACCTTGTTGTCTCGGATTCTCCAGCATCTGCAGTTCCTACTATCTCAGTACAGAAGCTAGCCTGATAAACCACTGGGTATTTAAATTTTGACATTGCATCACAAATAGAAATATTATATATCTCATTTAGTTCTGCTAAATGATAAGTTGACTGCCACCATCCGCCCAAGGGAAATTTCACCTGAAATTGCAGTGTAATTTTCCTAATGTACAATGTCCATTTGATAGGGCTTTATTAATGCTTAGTTCCATGTTTATTGGGAAATCATTTGCTGTTGTTTAACAGTATACAGTGTTGAATAGTAACAGGTATCTAGGAGCAATTACAAGACAATAATTTAATCAAAGGGTCAGGATAATATGATAAACTGAGAGAGAAATCTGAGTAATTAGATTGATCAAATAGGTCCTGAAAAGGATTATAATCTTCAGATTAGTTTACCATTCTTGAAATATACACTGTGAAATCTACAAGTGTTTTTGGAAGTCATTTATAATTTTTTTCAAAAGATAACAAGCAGGTATTAACGGCTGATTAGTTTCTTGGTTCAATGATAACTAATCAATATTTACATTAGCTCACATCTGTCATGAGGGCCAGTTAGCTCAATCGGCTAAATGGCCAGAATAATGCCTACAGTGGTTCAGAATTACACAAACAGCACAGGTTTGATTCCTATTCCTGTTCTAGTGGAGATAGACTTGGCATGTGCTTCTCATTTCCTCTGAGAATGGAAGACAATGGCACACCACCATTAATAAACGGTGCCAAGAAAATGGCTCAGGATGAAGCATCAGCAAACAATGAACCAAGAACCCAACTTCAGGCAAAGCACGCATGAATGGATTCTTGTTGCTATGGATATAATTGGTGAACAATTCACTTGAATGATTCACTGTCAGATGAACTCAAAGGAAAGGACATCGTTTTTTTTCCAAGATCAGTTTATTATAACAGATCCAGGTGTTGAGTTGGACTACTCATGGAGAACATTAATGGTGGCAGTGGAAAATTGCACGTTAGTAACATTTAATGACATTGAGGCAATCGAAGAGAAAAGCAGAATCGGGTGCTTAAAATAGTAATTGCTTTTGAAAAGGCTCAAAGGACATCTGAACATGATAGTAGCATTTGTCAAGGCTGAAGAAATAGGGGTCTAAAAAGGGATGAATATTAAAGGGAGAGCCACACAATTTGCTAGCATGAAACTACAAGCAAGTGAGAGCTTTATGTCCAAGCTGCTTTTGAATGACTGACCAGCTATAGCTGGATTTGTGTAAGCTGATTGTGGAAGGTGAACCAAAGAACAAGTATCTATTATTTTCATTCTGCCTTACAGTATAGCACAAGTTAAGTAGGGAACACCAGTTGCATGGCATGCTGAAAGAGAACTGTGCTGGATTTGCAATGCTTCAGTGCTAATAGTTGTCTACTGCTACTTCTTTTCACAAACTCTTTTGCCCAAGTCCATTGGAGCTTGCAAGCACAGAAGATTACAGGCAACATTAGCTTCAAAAACATTATATTCCTCCACACATAAATTGAAAGTTATCGTATTTTTACATGCACCAAACCCAAAATAAATATACTATAATAAACCCACTGTGGTTAACCAAAGAATTTAAGGATAGCTTCAAATTGAAATAAAAATATACATAGCGGCAAAGATTAGTAGTTAACCAATTAGGAAAGATTTAAAAATCAACAAAAATGACAATACAAATCTAATTGAGAGAAAACAAACATTGAATCATTGAATCACTACAGTGTGGAAGTAGGCCATTTGGCCCATCGAGTTCACACTGATCTTCTGAAGAACATCCCACCCAGACACACCCCCTACCCTATCCCTGTATTTCTTATGGCTAATCCACCTACCTTGCACATCCCTGGATATTATGGGCAATTTAGCATGACCAATCCACCTAACCTGCATATCTTTGGACTGTGGGAGGAAACTGGAACACCTGGAGGAAGCCCATGCAGACATGGGGAGCATGTGCAAACTCCCCACAGATAGTTGTTCAAGGGTGGAATTGAACCTGGGTCCCTGGCGCCATGAGGCAGCAGTACTAACCACTGAGCCACCATTCTACCCTGTTGGGAGTAACCTAGCAAGGAATATTAAAAAAAAGTTAATAACAGCTTCTTTAAATATATAAAAATGAAAGGAGAAGGAAAAGAATGAGAATTTGTCCTCTGGAGAACAAGGCTGGGGACATTGAAACATAGAAAACAGGGGCAGGCGTAGACCATCCAACCCTTTGGCCTTGTTCTGCCATTCAATATAATCATTGTGGATCATCCAACACAGTATCCTGTTTCCATTTTCTCCGATACCCTTTGATCCCTCAACCCTAAGAACTATATCTGACAAATAATAACGAGGAACTAAGAAATTATGGAGGAGTTGAACAAATGTTTTACATCAGTCTTCAGGGAAGACACATTAAAAGCATTCCAAAAATAATAAATAATCAAGGGGCAAAAGAAGGAACGGAGATAAATATAATAGATATCACTATAGAACAAAAAGAGGAAAATAATAGGGTTAAAGGCTGTTAAATCCTGTGGACCTGATGGGTTACAGCCTACAAAGGAAGTGGCCACAAGCATAGTGGATTCATTGGTAGTAATCTTCCATAAATCTTTAGATTCAGGAAAAGTCCTGCACGACTGTAAAACTGCAAATGTAACAACCTTATTCAAAAAACAGGGAGATAAAAGGCAGGCACCTACAGGCCAGTTAGCTTAACACCTGTCATTGAGAAAATGTTAGTGTACTACAAAGGATGCAATAGCAGAGCACTTCAATATACATCATATAATCAAGCAGAGTCAGCATGGTGTCATGAAGGGGAAATCATGCCTGACAAATTTATTAGAATTCTTTGAGGAAGTAACAAGTAGGACAAACAAAGGCGAACCAGCAGAAGTATTATCTTTGGATTTCCAAAAGGTATTCAATAACGTACTGCACAAAAAGTTACTTCATAAGACAAAGCCCCCGGTGTTGGTGGTAGTATATTGGCATGGGTGGAAAATTCGCTAATTAATACAAGATGTAGACTTTGGATAAGGGTCACATTCAAGATGGCAACCTGTAACTAATATGGTGCCACAGAGATCAGTGCTGGGATCATAATTATTTACAGTATATGCAATGACTTGGATGAGAGAAATGAATCTACTATTGCCAAATTTGTGGATGACAGAAAATATTTGGGAAAGCAAGTGGTGAGGATGACACAAAGCGTCTAGAGATGGGTATAGAAGGTTAAGTGAGTGGGCATAAAAGTCAGCAGAAGGAATATAACGTATTTTTTTTTAAATTCATTCGTGGGAAGTGAAGTTATGTTATTTGGCTAGATGAATACAGGAGCTGAATATTATTTCAATTGAAAAAGTCTGCAGAAGGCTGCAGCACAGTCGGATTTGATGGTCCTCATGCATGAATTACAAAAAGATAGCATCCAATTTCTTCAGGAAATAGGAAAGGCAATTTTTAAAATATATATTTGTTCATGGGAAGTGTTCAGCACTGGCTAGGCTAGTGTTTATTGCACAGAGAGCATTTAAGAGCCATCCGCATTGCTGTAGGTCTGGATTCACATATTAACCAGACTGAATAAACCCAATTTAATTCCCTAAACAGCATTAGTGAACCAGATGGGTTTTTAACGACAATTGACAGTGATTATATGGTCACAATGAGGCTGGCTTTTCATTCCAGATGTTATTGAATTCAAATTTCACCATCTAATGAGGTGGGATTCAAACCCATGTTGTCAGAACTTTGGCCTTGGCTACATACTGTATGTCTATGTCTTATGGTCTCTCTGATGTATTAGAAACTGACTGAAAATTTTCAAAGCAAGTCTGAATGCTAATCACCTCCGCTGAAAAACAAAGTAAATATGGTTATAGTTACAAGTACTTGAATTTATTTTATTCTGTCTGTTCAAATTAACATTTTAACCAGCTTCCTGTCAGGGTTTCCTTATAATGGAAAACATTACACCAGGCAGGGCATCTGCCCAAACATTATACATGTTCAGACTGTCCATAGTCAGCTGCCTGCTCCAAATGCAAGAAATGATAAAATGGTCACATTGACCACATAGCAAATTACTGTACGAAAATTAAAACTAGCTAGACATGTTGGTGACTTAATTTTTTTGATCTCTGTTCGTTTACATCATGCTGCCCGTTCTGATAATGTGGGGAAGTAATATCTATTGATATTTGCTGTTTCAGTGAAAACAGTAAAGTTATGATTATCGGCAAAATGGTCAATTAGTTGTAGCTTAATCTATTAAGCACAATTAACAATGGAGTCAAAATAATGTAAGTACACATTATGCAAACAGTTCAAATACAATAAGAATTGATTTTTACGGTCAGTGGTGATAGAATGGTGCAAAATAATGTCATAGTTATTTGCACCACTTAGGTTTAGAGCATCAGCTAATTTCCAATAATTGGAACATTGCAGGATGGATATTGCTTTGTAATGCTGGTATTGACATAAATGCATGTGCAGTTTGACCCAGTGCCAGTTTTCAGTGTGTTTGCAAAGACTGACATGTAAAACATTGGATTCCACAGTATACTGTCAGTACTGATTGACTTATTGAGAATACGGTTTACCTTTCTTGTTTTGTGAGGATTCCTCATTCGGGATGATTTCTTGATATCCACTTCTGTAGTATTTACACAGCCTGGCTAAAAAAAAAATACATTGTAATAATTTTAAGTCAATACATTCTTAGTTCTCTTATATAAATGCACTCCAACATAGCATAGTACATGAAACCCTGTTGGAAAATGGGTTAATATTTCTGAGATATGAGATTCCATCAGAACTGGACAAGTTAAAGATGCATTAGGTTTTGAGAAAATGAAAGGTGGAAGATAGGAGAAAGCCATCAAATGGAAAGGTTTGCGACAGGATGGAGAGCTGGTGAGATTAAATGGCTAAAGCTTACACGTGCAAAGCCAAAGGGAGTGTAATCTGGCAGGAAAGAAAGAAAAGATGCCTACAGAATGTGTAATGGTGATGTCCCACTGAAAGTAAGGAAAACAGAAAGAATAAAGGGAGAAAAAAGAACAAACTAGCAAAGGAGAAAAAAGAAATCGAGACATATGAAAATTAAAGACCCTCCTTTCTCCCTCACCCTCTCCCTTTCACATACTCAATTGTCCAAATACAACTGTAACCTCCCAGTTCTGATGAAAGGTTATTGACCTGAAACATTAACCTGTCTCTCACTCCACAAATGCTGCCAGATTCACTGCACTTCAAGAATTTGCTGATATTATTTAAGATATCTAACATCCACAAATTTTTGCTTTTGATTTTGGAAAGTGTTTGTCTGAAATCTATTAAAGATAATCAAATTGTAAAATCTCCTTAAACTTTATACAAATCACCTAAGAATTCAAAGATTCTTAAGAGATTTGTTGAATTGTAGAGTAAAAACAAAAGGCATCTAAAATCACCTGAAAGGTGCCAAGACACATAAGATGCTATTTAGGTCACAGTGCAGATCCATATGCTAAATTGCAAGATACAGAGTACCCTTTGGAACTCTGAATGTGTAGTATCCATTCAATTGTTTCACTAAATTACATAATGGACTTCAAAAATCGTAACTAAGGAATCTCTAATAGATGAAAAGGGTTAATGCAGAAATAAAAGTTAAACATACTCCCAGCAGTCTAAGATGATCTCAGAATATTGTAGAAAATAACAGAGCAGATATTTCTTTGACTGTACTTGAGTGTGTAGTATCATCAGATGCAGACATCTATGCAGAATAATCAGGCAGGTGAGTGTTGCATATCCATAAGGAATCCATTCAATTTTACATCATTTATTTAAGTAGGGAGGCTCCAGAACAGTCCTCTGTGGTTGATGTCCTTCATGATCTATGCTCAGAAGATTCTTTATCTCTAAGAACAATTAAAAGGAATATCTGCCCAACAAAGTCAGCTCCCCCAGATGGCAATGGTCTTTTAGGTGCCAACAGAAGAGTCTTGGGGTTACGATGACTGAAGTCGTTATTTGTTGGGTTTTGGTCTCTGCTCAGCTGGTAATGATTAAGGGAGCATTAGATTTGCAGCACCAGACATTGAGCTGGTTCAGTTTTGTGCAAGATAATTCTATTCAAATCTGCTTGTCGTGTGATGGGCTTTAAATAATTATAAATTCCTCAATTGCACCGTGGGTGAGGATCTGTACTTGAAAGGAGTGCAAACTAGAGAAGCAGGGATTCAGAATCATTGTCCTACTCTGAGCTGTGTTCCTTTTAACGTTTGAATGGATCAGTGTCCTGTGAAATTCACCGTACGTTATTTTACTGCCTCCTGAATGAAAATAATGCTCATATCTCATCCAGTCACCATTTACATTCCCTGATATTTTTCATCTTGACATTGAAATTTGAAAATGAGTCATAGAGTCATACAGCACGGAAGCAGACCCTTTGGTCCAACTCATCTGCGCTGACTGGACATCCCAATGTGTCCTAGTCCCATTTGCCAGCATTTGGCCCAGATTTCAATAATTTATATTTTGAAAATACATTGCTGACCTTAAGGTCTGTAGGACTTTTGTGAGTTTCTCACTTTAAGTTTAGTGGGAAAACCTTGCAACCTCCTGGAAAATTTTTGAAATCTTCCCAATGACACTTGACATATTGAGTAAAGATAAAGAAAATACATTCTTTATCCACACCTGAAGGAGTTGTTAGTCTCTTCATATATGCAAAGAAAGGGCCTATCAGAGGTTTGATGTGCCCTCTTACAAGATCGGCTTTGCTTGAAGTGTCATTCCAGACTGCAATCAGAGAAACCAGGTCTAAGGATTGCCTGCAACAGATATAGGTAGATAACTTACCTGCATGTGAAACTAACAGGCTTTGATCCCACATCAAAGGAAATTATTACACACCTCCTATTTGTTCATTTTTCATAACTATTTGATCAACTAATGTGACTTCCGCTTGTAGAAACATGCTTACAACATCTCTTCGTTTAAAGACAGCAGGTAATAATGGAAATGTGAGGCTGAGAGTGGGTACTAGCCTTTCCAGTCCCTAACCACTGAGGAAATGAGTGAGCAGCTGTTGTCAGAAAATGATCAAACCAATTGTAGAGGGTCAAGCAGGAAGCTGTGATCAAGTCATAGACTACCAGTCATCATTCATTCTCTTTGAAATCATCTACATACCCAAGCATTCTATCATTCTCAAACTTGGCATGTTTCATAATACTCTTCATATGAAAGAGTCAATTTTATTAGAGGGAATGTGTTGGTAATACTATTGAAGTACATTTACCTCTTGTGTAGTAATAAGTCTCCTCAAGATGTTTCCATTAACAATCTTTGGGAATGCTTCACGTTCTCACTGACAGTCACTCCACTTGATACAAATGCCAGCAATAATATGATCACTTCGAGGGATTTAGATTTTGTAAATGAGGAGAGCCAAGTAAGTTAAAGTTCAAAGACAATTAAGTTGGAATAAAAGTAACATTGGATATTGTGTCAACTGTTTCAGAACCATCACCCAATTCAGCTCAAGGAGGCAAAAACCACTCCCATGTTCAGAGGCACTCTTTAACAGCAAATGATGGTTACCTCACCTCATTTGATACTGGATGTCACATGGAAGGATCATTGGATTGTATTTGGTAACAATGAACAAGTATATAATATTGAGGGCTGAGTCTTCCTCCACTCTTCGGCTTGAGGTTAAGCAAGAAAGTGGAGGTAACAGCAGGAAAATGGATCATTGAAGCTCAGCACCAGATTCCTTCCTCAATCTCAATATCCCTTCACATGTCTGCCATTCTCACCCACTCTCCCCCCCACCCCCCCCACAACAACCCACAACCTGCTGATATAACAAGGTGTGGAGCTGGATGAACACAGCAGGCAAGGCAGCATCAGGGGAGCAGGAAAGTTGACATTTCGGGTCTGGACCCTTCTTCAGAAATGGGGGAGGGGAAGGGGGCTCTGAAATAAATAGAGAGAGGGGGAGGCGATGATAGAAGGTGGATAGTGGAGCCGATAGGTGGAGAGAAGACGGACAGGTCAAGGAGGCCGGGATGAAGCCAGTAAAGGTGAGTGTAGGTAGGGAGTTGGGATGGGGGTTGGTCAGTGAGGTGGGAGGAGTGGAGAGGTGGGAGAAAAGACAGACAGGTCAAGGAGGCGGGGACGAGAGGAGCTGGTCTTGGGATGAGGTCGAGGGTGGGGAGATTTTGAAGCTTGTAAAGTCCACATTGAGATCATTGGGCTGCAGGGTTCCCAGGCGGAATATGAGGTGCTGTTCTTCCAGCCTTCGGGTGGCATCGTTGTGGCACTGGAGGAGGCCCAGGATGGACATGTCATCCAAGGAGTGGGAGGAGGAGTTGAAGTGGTTCGCGACTGGGAGGTGTTGTCATTTGTCACGAACCGAGCGTAGGTGCTCCACAAAGCAGTCTCCGAGTCTCCGCTTGGTTTCCCCGATGTAGAGGAGGCCACATCGGGAACAGCAGATACAATATACCACATTAGCAGATGTGCAGGTGAACATCTGTTTGATGTGGAAGGTTTTCTTGGGGCCTGGGATGGAGGTGAGGGCGGAGGTGTAGGGGCAGGTGTAGCACTTCCTGCGGTTGCAGGGAAAAATGCCAGGGGTGGTGGGGCTAGTGGGGAGTACAGAGCGGACGAGGGAGTCACGGAGAGAGCAGTCCCTCCAGAAGGCAGATAAGGGTGGGGAAGGAAATATATCCTTGGTAGTGGGGTCAGATTGCAGATGGCAGAAGTGCCGGAGCATGATGCGTTGGATCCAGAGGTTGGTGGGGTGGTACGTGAGTGCGAGGGGGATTCTGTCTTTGCTGTTATAACGGGGAGGGGGTGTGAGGACTGAGGTGCGGGAAATGTAAGAGATGCTGTCAAAGACGTTTTCGACCACTGTTGAGGTGAAATTGTGGTCCTTGAAAAATGAGGACATCTGGGATGTCTGTGAGAGGAATGCCTCATCTTGGGAGCAGATGCGGCGGAGGCAAAGGAATTGGGAATAGGGGATAGCATTCTTGCAGGAAGGTGGGTGACAGGAGGTGTAATCTAGGTAGCTGTGGGAGTCGGTGGGCCTGAAATAGATATCAGTTTCCAGGTGGTTACCAGAGATGGAGACAGAGAGGTTCAGGAAGGAGAGAGAGGTATCAGAGATGGTCCAGGTGAATTTAAGGGGGTGGAAGGTGTTAGTAAAGTGGATGAACTGTTCGAGCTCCTTGTGGGAGAACGAGGCGGCACCGATACAGTCAGCAATATAACGGAGGAAGAGGTGGGGAATAGTGCCAGTGTAGCTGCAGAAGACGGACTGTTCCACATATCCCACAAAGAGGCAGGCATAGATGCAGCTACACTGAATAGGGACCATGTTTTGTAGATATAAAACAATAGTGTGTTTGGTGTTTGAGGGGCCAGTTGTCACAACACATGTGGACACAATAGTTCGTCCCTTCTGGGAGAACATTCCAAGCATTACAAAAACAAGTTATCCGAAGTAATCATTTATAACTTCATTGACTGATTACATTTATCTTGAGCATCTTGGAAAGAACACTTTGCAAAACAAAAGGCATTGGCTGCAGCTTCAACAATATTACATTTGATTTGACTTGATTTGATTTATTGTTGTCACATGCACCAAGATACAGTGAAAAGTATTGTT